AGAAAAGAAATTTAATTGATTTGGTCTAATGTTTTGTTTTCCCTTCAGTTAGTCCAGCTGTTTAGTTAGCTGCTTGATATGGTCCAGTCATGACCCTTATGCAGCTGTGACACTTGATTCAGCTGTTTTTGGACCTTCCTTCTCTTGGTGGGAGAACTCTGCTCCCCACGTGTAGCATTATCATGCAGGTTTTGGTGCTAGAACAAGTGTGAACTTCCTTTGACTTGGTCATTACAGGTAAACATTACCTGTTATGTTACATTCAGGTGTTGCAAAAGTATTCCTTTCCCATTCTGCATCCTCCCTGCCCCAGGCACTTTACCTTTCACTCACTGGGGGAATAACTCCCTTAAGACAGCAAGAACATAGTTCCTGTACTGCATTCCTTGTATTTTTTGTCTTTTGCACTGAGCACTTTAAGAGGAGGATAATGTGATGCCAGATTTTGTAACAGCTTGGGAAAATGAGGTAACTCAGTAGTTAGGAACAAAACACTGGATCAAATCACCAGTCCTTTCTGTACCATTTCCTGTGTAACATTCTTGTTATTATTGTACACAGCCAAAAAAAAAAGATGCAAAATCCTGTTGGGACTAATTATGGAACAGTCTGTCCAAAGGGGAAATTTCTTGTAGTCCCTGTCATACAATGAGTGGCATATGCCCTGAAGCACAAGGATTTATACCTGATGCAGAAGTCTTTGGCTAGTCACATTATTCATATAAATGCCTAACCATATTCTGGGTTCCAGTGGTACCCAGTGGCAGGGTGTTCTACAAGTCATTTAGGCATGGTGCAAAACATATTTGGCAACATTTCTCTTCAATTATCCTTTGCCCTTTTTTATAAAAAAAAAAAAAGGGGGGGGGGTAAAAACAGTTGTTTCTGTTTATCTTCTCCATCTCTGCCATCTTTCTTCCCTCATTTCTGGAATGTATTTCTTATGACTGCTTACCATTTTGTGATTGTAACGATCACAGTCTATTTTGTGTAGGGTTTTGCACAGCACTTGGGACTGGAGATCTGAGTACCTTGTGGTGCTTTAACCAAATGCAAGCAGCGGTGTAGATTCTCCTTATTTTGCACTCAAAGTTGATGTGAGGACTACTGCACACCCAACGAGTGAAGCAACTTTAATAGTTCATGTCCCTGATTCCAGAAATCAGACAGTGAGGTTAAAAGTCTGTCCTCTCATAGCAGGGTGGAGAGCATTTTTGGGGAGCAGAGATTTAACAGAAAAGCACTTTACAGTCTGAGGTTGTTAAGCCTAACTTCTGATTATGGTACTTCTTCCTCAACCCTACTGGTGGGTCATCTGAATTTTGACTTTTTTTTTTCTTTTTTTCTTCTTGGTATTAGTAGGAACATGGATAATAGTTTTATGCTCAAATAAGAGCCATAGAACTGAAACTAGAGGATATGTAAAGAAGGGAAAACTATTCTGACTAGCTCATACATGGGTGACTCTTGAGTCATCAACTGGGGGGGGCCCTCCATGGTCAAATCTCAGTCACCAAAAAGCGGCTGTGCCACTTCCAGAAGCGGCATGGCCGCTTTTGCTGGCAGCCTCGCTCCCTGGCTGGTGCTCGCAGGGGGGCCACTGGTGTTTCCGCCTGCCCACCGGCTAAACAGGGAGTGTGGGGTACACTGGCGCTCTCAGGGACTGCACATGCACCCCCGTGTACCGCATACGCATTGCCACTGAGCTCATCTAATCTCTGGTAGGATTCACAAGACGAGTCTTTCTTTCTCTTGTCTATGGAACAGGCTATCTGTCCCTCTTGCTGAAATTTTCTCATGGCCCACTACTTGAATGTTCATATCCAGAGAAAAGGGAGGGCCCATTTGCTAAGGACTGTGGCATTCATTTGGGAGGAGGGAGACCTGGATTCTGGTCCTCGCTTCAATGAATATTTATGCATGTGCATGGCACACAAGTTGATGTGGTGGACTCCACTGACAGACAGGATGTCTGGTCATTAAACACTGCTATGCTGAGTGTTGCAGCATAAACTTGCTTCTGAATTTTAGCTCCTGGAACTAGAAACATGACCAAGCCCAGAGTTAGGTTGGCCACAGACAACTTTGAGCAAAAACTTTCAAGTTTTCTTGGTTAAAAAAATGCATACTTGATTCCTGCTATTATTTCCTGTGAATGGGACTTAAGTTCAGTGCAGGGTGGATTAGATTTTAATCGGGATTTAAATTGATTTGATTTAAATCACTGGTCAGAAAGCCTCAATTTAATCATTGTTTTCTACAAAAAGTTTACTCTTGATATAACCTTAATACATATTATTCACAACTTGGAGATGTAGGTTACGTTTTAAAGCAGTGATTTATTTTGATATGTTTTCAGATTAATTTTGCAGCTACATCAGAAAACTGAATTATGATTTGGTTATTTTATTTACCAAAGCTAATTGAAGCAGATACTTGTGAAGTCATTGGGAGGTGAATTATCTCCAATTTGCATCAATCACGGATATTTTTGCCACCCTGTGTTAGGAAGACATCAAATGAGCTTGGGGCTTTCTTCGAGATTTCTTTTCTCTTTTATAGCCCAGCAAGCCTGCTGCCATGATATATTTTCCCTCTACCATATCATTTCCTCACTAGATCTCAACTCAGTGGAGAGGCTATACTCAAGAACTTATCCCTCCAAGACTTCTGAAATACTTGGCTCAAAATGTTTCTCTTTTGTTTCTACTGCCCCTCCCTCCTTGCAGTTATCTCTAAACCCCTCCTTGTCCAGATCTACCCTACCCCGCAAGAATCCTCTATTCATTTAACTTCTTTTCGAGAGAGCTTGACTTTGTACAGGTAAGTTGCAGAAAGACAGTAGGGCTGATGGGTAAGTAATCAGGTGTGTTATCTCTCTCCATATACTGCTGTTAACAAGGGTGTTATCTCTGGGGACACAAATCCAGTTTGAGAACAAACTAAGCATCACTGAGATGCTTAATGGGATCTTCTAGACCAGCAGTTCCCAATCTGTGATACCAGTACCACCAGTGGTATGCAGATAACTTGTCAGTGGTACAGGTTTATTATAATGACTTTATATGACAAAAATTTGCTGGTGGTACTTAAGATTGTATTATTTTATACTGGTGATGCGCAATCTGTCAGAGCTTGGGAACCACGGTTGTAGACAGAGCATAGTCCCATTGGGTAGAGTGGTTTTCTTTAATCTTTACTAACCTATAGAGGAGCCTCTGGGAATCCCATAAGATTGGGCCACTAATATAATCCAAGGCCTGTTGTGACCTATTTATAAAACTTTTCTGAAAGGGTTATGTGAATCTATTGTCTCAAATAGGAGAAGTTATAATTAGAAGTTTTATAATCCCTATTTCATGATGATATCTTTGATCTTAACAGATCTTAAATTAAAAGTATAAAGATTTTTTAAGCATTTAAAAAAGAACAAAACGATTACATCAAAAAATCTGATTTAAAAAAAACCAAATGATTTTTATCCACCCTGGTTCAGTGAATAGGTTTTGAATAAGAAAGTCAAAAAGGGACCTGTTTGTTTATACTAAGGAAACTGGTTGACTGTCTGGCAGAAGATCTTAAATTCGTGCTAGGTCATGCAAGGCATTTGTCTTCCTTTTCAAGTCATTTCTGCAGGCTCCAAATTTCAAAAGGCCAGATGAAGTGATTGGCAGGAAGCAATAAGTTTATAGTAAATGTGCCCCCTGTGAAGCTGTCACTGCTGAGGTGGAGGGTAGAGGAAACAGGAGCTGAGGCTGTCAGTAAGAGTGAGTAGCTGAAGGCCACCTGATAGGCAGTTTGGTGAGCAGATAACTGCAGTATGAACTGAAAGAAGAACAAAGACGAAGCATGCTGTGGAGAGAAATAGAAAGCTGAAATGAAAGGATTTAAATTTTTTTTCTTCCTAAGAAGCTATTTCTGAAGGCCTGTTGCATGATTATGTGGGAGAAGAGGTCTGCCCTACATAAGGTACGAACTATGGGCATCTGTACACATGCTTGTGCCTTAAAGAAGTGCTGGGCACTGCAGTGCATACAGTTGTATGAGCAGCAAGACGTGCATCAGTGCTGAGAAAATGGCGGTGGCATGCTTTTGAACTAAAACACCTTTGAGGTGTTTTAGTTCAAAAGTGCACCACCGCCATTCTCTGTGCTGACATGCATTTCACCATATATACGACTGCACGTGCTGCAGTGCAGTGTGGAGCAGACTCAAACCCGTCTGCTACAACCTGTCGAATCTCTGGTGCATCGTGGGATGAAAAGGTATATGTAGAAATGCCCTGTAAAAAGAAATCTGTGAATCTTGGAGTGCTGGTGTTTAAGAACTTCCTTATGCAAACTTAAAAATCTCAGTCCTGTGAGAGTGGCATGTTGTTCTAGAGTATGTCAGAGCCACACTTGATCACATGCTTCTGTCAAGACTTAGGTTAATGAAACTGAAGGGAAAGATGGTGCACACAATTTGCACTTCTAATGAGTCTCAAGCTAAATTCTGAGCCACTAACACTGCTGCCATTAGCTCTTTATCTTACCCCAGTACCAAGGAGTGATCCTTGGCTTTTTCCTCCGGTCACTGCATGCCTGGCATACATAAACCTTGCCAAAGAACGCTTCAGAAATGCAGCAAATGCTGTTTGACTATGAGCCTCTATGTGAACACACTGCAGTGAAAAAGGTTTTTAAATGTGAGTTCTAAATGACCTAGTCCTTTTTGTCTGCATCCTTTCTTTTTAGATTAATGTGTTAGTTGCATAGGCAGGCAGTCTTTGGTCACTGTCACAGTACTGTAGGTCTGCTAGCTATTTGAGCATGTTTGACTAATCCAGTGATTCTCAACAAAGGTGCCACAGCACCCTTGGGTATCCTAAGGTCTTTTCAAGGGTGCCAAGCAATGTTAGCACTGTTATGTATGCAAACATGATTCATAAGATTAATCTGGAGATTTCAAACAGGAATCCATAGTGTAAGAAACATTCTGACCTGCTGCTGTCTTTCTAGTTCTTGGCAACAGGTGAATTACTCTGAAAAGGTGAGTGAAAAATAAGAGCTGGTATTTTCTGTGTCTTGAAAAGGTTAGAGCTGAGGACCATTGGTCTAACCCAGGGGTTTTCAACCTCTTTAAACAAGTGTACCCCTTCTGCCTCAAAGTTTCAGCTCATGTACCCTTTTATATTTTTCTTGGTTTTAAGGCGTGGGGGAAGGGGGGCAGATCGAGGCCCCTATGGTGAGGGAGGGAGTGGGGCAGGGGCAGGTGCCGCACAACTGGGGCAGAGTGGTTCATCCAGGAGGGATGGGGGGAGGGGGGCAGTTCCTACTGCTGTGGGCACCCCGATGGAGGTCTGGGTGGCACGTGCCCCCCAGATTTGTGTGTGGGGTGGAAGCAACTGCTGCTGCAGGCTGAACTCTGCACCAAGCTGCGCAATGCCATGTGCCTGCTGTGGTTGGGCAGGCAGGAGACGGAGAGGGAAGGGGCTGCGGGGCTCTAGGTTGAGAATGGGAGGAGGTGTCTCTGCCCGCTCTCAGGAGCAGGGCTGTGGGGGTGGGGGGCAAGGGCAGCAGTGCCTGGCAGGGGGGGAGCAGGGCTGGCATGCAGCATCCGCCACTGCCCCACACCACTGCTGCCATGCTGCTTTCCCGTGGCCAGTTGCACGCGTGGCTCTGTGGGCTGCTGACAGGCAGTGTGTGTGGTGCAAGGCATGTCAGCAGCCCATGGAGCCGCATGTGCAACCAGCTGTAGGAAAGCAGCACGGGAAAGCATGCCAGTGGCGGTGCAGGGTGATGGCAGTGGCGGCCGCCATGTGCAAGCCCCCACCAGCTGGCTGGGCAGTGCGTGTGGCCCGCAGAGGGGCACTGCCCCCCTTGCCCTGCCTCCAGCCCTGCTCCTGGGAGCGGGCACAAAGAGTGAGCTGAGGTAAGGGAGGTACGGCGGTGTGCTATGTGAGGCTGGTGGCTTCCGCGGGCCTATCCCTCTTCCACCCCTCTCTGAGTAAGAAGCAAAGGAAGAAAGGTGCTGGGGAGATGCTGCTGCTGCACCACAGGGTGCGCTCTGTCCCCATCCACCTGCCTGCCCGCGCATACCCCGTATGGCCTAAGTACCTCTAGGGGTATGCGTACCACCGGTTGACAACCCTGGTCTAACCCAAGGGCTTGCAACCATCTGGTCCTGTAGGTCAGATGAGTGATGTAGGGCTGGTCTGTGGGTCTGAGCCCCATGTGCCAGGATTGGGCCCTGGGGCCTGGCACTGCCTACTTACACCCCTGCATACTGGGATTGGTCCCTGGAGGAATGGCATTGCCCCCTCCCAGTGGGATTGGTCCCCAGAGGCTTGGCACTGCCCACTTCTGCCCTGGCATGGGTGACTGGTGCCTCCTGAGTCAGGAGGGGCACTTGCCCCATCAGCAACCGGTAGGGGGTCCCCGTGTGGCCAATCACACCAACCTGGAAGTGGCAGTGGCGCACCGCTTGCACTTCCAGGTGGGCACGATTGACTATGGGGGGGACCGCGGGGATCGCTTCTGGTGCCCCCACTCCGCAGCCAGCGCTCCCGGGGGGGAAGCAGTGCTCTCGCCTGCCCAGGAGTGCTGGCTGTCAGGGGATGCACCAGCACTCTCAGGATGCACGTGCACCCCCTGTGCGTCACTACTGTGCCCTGGAGTGCTAGGATTGGATCCCTGAGGCCCAGTGCTGCCCCCATGCACCTGGATCCGGTGCCCAATCCAGCGCACAGGGCCTCAGGCTCCCTATTGGGCCAGGAAATTTTGGGAGTGGGGGAGCAGTGCCACTGCTTTCCTAACAAAGTTCAAGACTTGTGGGGAGCACTGTGGGCCAGATGATGTGTAGCAGTGGTATGAGGGTTGAGCACCCCTGTCTAACCAACCAGGGCTACTGTGGCTATCTTGAAATAAAGAGGTCATTACTTAGAGCACTTTTGTAAATATGCACAGCATTGAGCTCAGTGTCACAGCTAAGGCTGGACATAGCTCTGACAGATGGCCAATATTTGAACACTAAAACCTTCTTCCAGGATAGGTTACACGGCAACAGTAACCTCTTGAGACTTCCATAGGGATATCTTTGAGGAAAAATATTCTATATTCCTCTAAATGAAGTTCTGTAGGTCCCATACTTACACTTCTTTAAGAATGTTAGTTGAGAAGTCCTAATTAGTTATCTCTTTAGAAAGGTGCACTGAAGTTTGAAAATAATAATGGCACGTTCTGAAGATCAGCTTGTTAAAGAGATGTTTCCATGCTTGAGGAAGGAAGAGGTGCCTAACAGCTACCAAGACACTTTTGGTTATCCAATTTATACTTTAGATCCCAAATACCTTTTGGAAACATGGCCCTTTTCTTCATATGTAATAGTAGACCTGGTTTGGCCAGCACAACTTAATTTCCTGGTGATCGATACAGGGACTGGAAAGTATTTAGGTTTGGCTCCAAGCCAAGGCTGTTCTTGGAGTCCATAAAAATGTATTTGAGCACAAATGAGCCTTGAGACAAGGACTTCCATAATATCATTAGTATAAAGTTGCTTTTCAAAATAGATGTGCATTTTATAGCAGAGGCATGGTGCTACTTGTCACATACATCACCAGAGCAAGATTTGACCTGAGTGATAAAGGATTGCTGTTCCTGTGTCACAACCAAATTAAAAGATAGACAGTTGCCAAGTTACATTCTCTCTTGCCACTTGATTAAATCCATCTTGTTAAAGCGGAGCAGGTGTTTGTATTTTTCTGATGAAGATTATTGCCAGCATCTTTTATTAAGCATTGATTAAAAGCAAATGAGGCAAGAGCTTTGCACTGATTGAAGGACTTGGAGTCAGGCCATCAAGTACTGAATGCACAAAAGGTAACACCCAGCCCATTAAGTAGCCTTTTTAGATGCCTTGAAGTTTCCGATTACCTATTAGTAAAACAAGACCTGCTACAGTTCAGCTGCTTGTTCAGTGTCCCAGGACTGTTTGGAGAGTGCCAAAGGTTCTTGAGCACAACTAGATTACTTCCTTCTGCCCAAGTCCTTTTTTGGATCCCTTTCTCTGCCTGTACTAAGCACTTGGCTGTTGAAGCTGGCAGGGTGTTGTCTTCTTGCCTTATCAAAAAGAAGTGAAGAAAAGGATGGGTTTTAGAATTTTCTGACAAAGCTTTGAGTGCAAACTATTGCAGCTGTTTTCTGCACAGATGGTGTGCTCTAACAACTACAGGCCTGTCCTTTCATTACAACAGTCTGGGCTTTTTTATGGATTTATCCCCTGGTGGAAACTCCAGTAGGTAAAAAGGAATTGGCTTGTGTGAAGACTATAGGATACTATTTTAAAACTTTTTATATTGGTAAATAAAGCATTTGAAATTTTGCAAGTAGATATTACAGGCCTCAGTTTTGTTTCATTTTTTAATACACATTGCTTCATTGCCTCTGTCAATGGCTAGGGATTGTGGTTTCCCTCCTGCAGAGATCCTCAGGCTGGATGCAATAGAGGATTAATGACCTAAATGGTAGTTAACTTCTGGGTATTCTCATCCTTTGTAATTCAAAACCCTGAACAAGCTTCACATATTGCCTGAGAAGAGTTAGGCACCTCAAGACAGAATCTAAATACATTAACAGGGATCAGTTTAAAGCCAATTAGAAATGCTGAGGACTGGGGCATGCCTGAAATCCTGTGCTTTTCTGTCCTAGAGAGCTCTTTAGTTTACTGTGGTTCCATAGCTTAGAATCCTCTTCAGATGCTTCAATTTTCCCTTTAAAAACATGGTGAATGAGAAGGTGGGAAAACTATATATTTAAGAATCTGAGAAATTTGATGAAATAAAGCAACCATGGGCTGCATCCAGATGAGCACAGACATCTGGTTCCCCAGGGACTTGTAGCAGTGGCATACCTTGCGCTGCAACTCCTTGTCCCCAGGGAATGCTTATGCCATGCAGGCTTTGTTGTACAAGTTACTCAGGGGGCAGTAGGGGAGGCTTGGGCCAGCACTACCTGGGGGCCTCTGGGGTTGCAGCTGCACTAATTCTGCCAGGAGGAGCCTAGCTGGCAGGTGCAGTGGGCTCCAGTTTTCAGTGGCTGTCCTGGGGTCAAAAATCTGAAGCAGCACATGCCCTTGCAGCATGGAGACCACCTGCTGGTGTGGTATGTGGTGCTATAGACATGTTTGCAGCTCCACATACTGCACGGCCAGGCTCCTCTGGGCACCTCCAGAGTTAGGTGTTGGCTTAATGGGGGCTTCACCAAACATTCTCACCTTTGGGTACAAACTTCCTGTCCAAGTCCATTTTTGGATCTGTCTTCTTTACCTACAAGAACACTTGGCTCTTGTAAATACCACCTTGCAGGCTTCATTATTACGCAGATGAACCAAGCAAGAGCCCTATGCTAAGTGGAGCAGCAGAAAAATAAAAGGTCTTTACTGAGGCAATGCAAATTGAAGTTAGTTACTCAAGTTTAAAAGAGCTAAGAATGAGACACATCAGAGTTGAAGCAGAGGGCCATACTATAGCAGTGATCAACACAATTCTGTGGGTGCAGTGGAAGTGTTATTAGGGTACTTAGTTTGACTGGGTCCCTACAGAAAGACTTGATCCTTTTAGCTCTGACCTCATTTGACCAGTCCAACAGGAAACTGCAAAAGAGAGAATGAAAATATGGCTAAGATACTAATGTAAAATTAGAACTTTGAAGGACTTTTTAGCAAAAGACAGGATAGGATGCCTTCCTCACTGGTAATACAGGCAATGGTCTGAGAAAGCGAGTAGTATAAGCCAAATCCGTTGTCAAACAGCAGTAGATGTTTACCTTCTTACCCGTAACATTTATCTCTCTTTGCTTCTCTGCTACAGCAAAGACAGCCTCCATGCCATAGTAACACCAAAGTAAACGCTCACATCTATGGGTCTTTCTTAAATTTTGTACTTAATAGAAGGGAAACACGGCTTGTCTACACCAGGCATTTACTGCAGTTGCCTAATTAGCTCTGCAGTAAACATCTCTGTGTTCACATGTGTGGCCCTATCAGGTTGTAGGAAACTAATAAACTTTGAAGCAGGTTAGTACTTGTAAATAGCAAGTAATATCCTGCTGCAGAGCTGTGCACAGCAATGTACGTGTAGATGCTGACTGGGCCAGCTGGGGCACAAGGGTGCTTCAGTGCGGGGCTACCTGCTGACTAGCCCCATGCTGGAGCACCCTTGTTTTCCAGTCAGCCCCTCTGCAGCACATTGAGCTGGATGGGAGCAGCCCCAGGCTGGCAGTCTGACCCCACCGGGCCCCCTGGCAGCCGGGGCTGTTCTGACCGGGCTCAACATGCTGTGGTCCCAGGTGCATATCTAAATGCAGCAACCAGAAGTAATAAACTTGGTGCGATATGTGCCAGCACATGTGGATGCGCCCCATGGCACTTTGTGGTTGGGGCAATGGAAAAGGTAGAGAGCCTATGGAGCTATAATGCGAGATGTAAGCATATCTGTTAAGGTTCCTACAATAATGTAGCCATAAACTACTGTAAAGTTAAGATGGCATTTTGGGGTATAACCAGGGACGGAGAAAACCAGGACATTCAGATACCTCTCTCGAGTTTTCTTTGAGAAATGTGGCTGCCTTTCTGTTTCATCCCCACCAAGGAATTTTCTAGTATGCTGGTAGTTTTAGCCACAGGGCATCATTTATGCCGTTACTTTCTCGACAGCAGTTTACAAGCTCCAACAGATCAGTATGATACCACACTGTATTCTTCTTTTATTAAAAAAAAGAGACGATTTATTAATGTAGCTGGAACATTTACAATTCATAATGGATTAATAACTTTAAATAAAATACTGCTTGCGCTTGGTATTTTTGCCCTCTGTGCGTATGTGTTCTTTCTGAAAGTCAACTCAACGGGATTCCCTGCTCTTACCACCATTCCCCGCTTCCCTCTTTCTGCTCAATATAGTAGTCATAATCTCACAAGTATGAGGTCTACTTAGTGGAAAACAATGCTGTACAATTTGCAAGGCTGACAAGAGTTTATATTAATATTTGCCCACCCATAGCTTAAGTGCCTTACTAGAGTTCCACTTACCCCAAAAAATGAGGATGTAAGGGCTTCTAACAAGTCTTGTTGTCCTTGGACATCAAGTCAAGTGCAGGTCCACTAATCCCTCTCAATAAATTAAGTGTCTTTCTTTTTTTAAAGAAAATCCCAGCATCAATTTTCTAGATATAATGCTACACCAAGAGAGAGTCTTTTTAACACAGATAATCAGACTTTTATAAATAGTAAAGCTTTTAAAATAAATAACTTTAATTTTAAACAGGTCAAAGTGTAAAACTTAAAGCTGACACACAAAATACTCCTGGAAAAAGGTGTCCTCCAAAGGGAAGGAGGTACAAAATGCCAATTACTCTATATGTACCCCATAGGCCATGTGAGGACTGACACAGAGTTTACCTGGAAACACTGGTGACGTGTAGGGGGTGCAGGTACACCCCCTGAAAGCGCCAGCCACAAAACCGGAATTGCCAGCAGAATTGCATTTCTGGTTTTGCTGCTGGTGGTTCTGTGCTTGGCGATCGGCCGTGGGGCCGATCAGCACCAGTAGCCCATGTGTGGAAAAATTAAAAGACCACTACACTAGTTACCTCTATTCTTGAGCTACTCTTACTGAAACAGGCCATGTCATAACCCTGGCTTTGGGGACACGGTTCCCATTCTTTAAAAAAAATCATTTCTTCTAAAAGATTTAAGAAATATGATAGGGCTATCTGAAATGTAGTAAGTTTCCTACACTTAGGCTTTACGCTGCAATATGAAAAGTTAAAACACAAAATCTCTCACTGGAAAGGCATGACTATACATTTGGTACACACGCAAGCTTAGCATTAAATAAACAGTGTACTATCCAGGCAAGTGGTTTTATGTACACTCACATACACACAATCTAAATTCTTAAAGTACTAGAAACCTACACATTCATTACAGGATCAATAAATCCTCAGACCTAAAATGTACTGAAAAGAAGATGAGCTCAGTTTTCCCCTCCAATTATCCAACTCAGAAGACAGTAGAAACAAGAACTCCACAACTAAAAAACTGGCAGTCAACTCCTTTTTCCTCTCTTGGAGGCTTTAAATTATAAAAAAAAAGGTCTTAATGGCAAAAGTTAACTTCCAAGTACACACTTGAAAGATATAGTAAATCATCAATATGTCTCAGTCCTTAAATAATTTCTAAATGCATAAACAATTTAAAAAAAAAAATGATGAGTTAAGACACTGCAATGCTGTATTGAGTTCAAGCCAATTACAAAAGCCTGTCAGGCTCTTGATTAAAGCTGAAGTCACACACCAAAGACAGGTGGTCTGAAGGGTAATTGAATGATGGCAGCCTGTTGGGTCCAATTTGTTCTTCAGTCAACAAGTTAAGCGCTGAGTTCACATGCAAGGCATGCTGGGAATACCAGATATAATCCAGTGTGTGCCTGCACTCTCCAGAGGGCCGGATCTTCCACGTAGTGTAAGGTGGTTCGGACTGCCCATCGGCACTGAGGAGTTTGTAAGCGCTGTTCAGGTTGAGGCTGGAGTTGGAGAACTCCTTGTACACTTCCTCAGTGGGCTCAGCATTGAAGTCTCCACAGATGATTAAAGGGATCTCTGCTCCTTGGGTAATATTTCTGAGGTTCTGAAGAAGATCACAGCCTTGCGCAGATCGAAATCTCTCCCAACCAGTTCGAGCTTTCAAGTGAGTGACAGCAATGCAGAACAGCTTCTCAGTTTCGTTACATTTTAGCGTTTGAGCTATGGCCACTTGGTTGGTTTTTAGCTTCATTGCAGTTAGCCGAATATTAACACTGTTGATTAGTTCAAAACGGTCTTTCAGGAAAAACAAGGCGCAGCCATCTGGGCCATTGTTATGTTCAACATCTAAGCATGGGGACCAGGGTTTTGGGAAGAAAGTAGACTGGTAACCTAATCGGCTGAGAAGTGGCTGGAAAGTGTCAAAGTAGTGGTCCACTTCCTGCAGGCACAAGATATCTGGTTTGTAGGCAAGGATTTCCTCCAGAATGAGACATTTCCTCTCTTCCCAATTGAGAGCTTCCATGGGACACTGGATGAAGTTGTCCTTGCCCTCCCCAAGAGCTGTAATGAAAAGAGGTCATGAATATTAATTGCTTAAGTAAACCAACTTCTCCTTTCCCTCGATCTTTGTGGCTCTCCTTTCTAACAAACTTCTCCTTTCCCTCACACCTGTGGAGACATAAGGCTCCCTTGAAGTACTCAAATTTCTATTCAAAGTTTTGTTCAGATCACAAATGGATGTTGGTGGATTGAAGCTGAATGTATGTGGTTTGTAAGGCTTGTTGACTGTGCATGATACCAAGAATTCATTAACTTTCTAGGATGCTCATATGTAAGAGTTGTAGCATCACATTTCTACACCAGGGATATCTGTCTGCATTTCTGTTCCAAAATGTTCATGGTACCTCTCTTAGCCACACTGGCTAGAAATACAAATTCCTTCCATCCTACTTGTAAATCCCATTCTCCCTGAAATCAAGAAAAGGATTAAGTGCTGCCCATTTTGTTCCAGTACCAATAATTATGATGGGCATAAACCCGTTGCCTTTGCAACCATCTTTGCTTTGCCCGTGAGAAATATGCATTCATGCTATATACATGGTGGCCTGGGTTGGTGCTTTTTTGGTTTTTTTTTTTTTTTTTTGTTTGAGTGACTTGCGATTTCGGATGCCCAGCCCAAGAAACTTGTATGGGACCTGATTGTCAGAAGTGTGGCACATCTAAACTAGAAAGTAGCAAGCAGAACTGGGCATCTCCAAGTCATCACCACTTTCAACAGATTTGCCAGCGTAATGCATGTGACTGCCAAATTCTCACATGATTTTTTTTGTCAGCCTCACCCATGCTATTAAATTGCCTCATCAGTTGGCAAGTGCTAAAGCACACACTCTAGTGTGGCAACATTTGAAAGTCTCAGTAAGACTTAAAAAAAAGAAGAGAGAGAGAGAGAGCACCATGCGCCGTGGGGCCTACTGTGGGTCTCCAGCGCCCGGGGGCCAATTCATTTGTGCCCTGCCCCCCGCAGCTGATCACTGAGCACAGGGGAAGGGGTGGTCCCCCAGCAGCCAATTGCTGAACCCAGGAAATGCCAGCAGCAAAACTGGAAGTGCCTCTGGGGGGGCAGAGTACCCCTGGAGGCATGCCCCCCTCATTGGTACGCCACTAGCCATGTGCCTTCCCCATTACCTGCAAAGGCTCAGACAAATGCCACTAATTCTTACAATAATTCCAAGCATTTAAAATTTGGCTTTTTAAGTAGGAATAAGACAAATGACAAGACTTTCACAAACAGTGAAGCAAATCTAACGAAATTTTATCAACTGCTACAGAACTGTAGTCTGTATCTTCACTAGGAACCTTCCAAAAAACAGGCCAGCTCCTCAACCATTCTTTTTTGCCAGTTGCTCAGGAAGTGATCCTGGGAGTTAAATGGAAGTGCCTCGAACTCAGAAGGATGGGGAGATAGAGCAGTACCTTTAGGGTTACAACTACAGGAATGAGGAAGAGAGTGTGTGTAACATGATTTTTGCTACCTTGCTCCTCCCAATCCTCTTTACAACTGTGTGGAAACACTACAGCTGCTAAATCCATATACACAGAATTTGCTTTCAACCGCTTATGGTTTTAAGAGGCTGCCTCAAGCTGGAGGTTCACTGGGGATTCATACCTTGTGCAAGAATGTTCCACTGCATGACCCTAATGGAGCGATGGCTGCTGATGGAATCTGTCCTCAGGTCCACAAAGTCTCTCTGGAGACGGGGAGGGCGCTTCTGAAGAATCACCTGGCATTCTTCAAGCAGCTCCTTAGGATCTATGGGATCCAGCTGTTCCGCGTCAGACTGCTCCAAATATTCCCGATGGTGGGAGACTGCGCTGCTGCTTAGTGTCTTAGCAAAAGCGCTATACAGCCTGCTTGTACTGTTTCCCATGGAATGTACTGGAAAGGAAGAAGTCAAAGTTCAGCATCGAGTCTGATCAACTCCCCCTGCATCCCCTTTTCACATCCAGGATTGAAAATTCCTCACAAAGACAGGGTAGACTATTGATTCTTTGGGTAGTAATACCAATATTCCTGGAATTTAATCCTCATGTGTAGGGACATTTTAAAAGGCTGCAAAAAAGAAGTGTAAGTCAGTAAGGACTGTTTCTCAAGGTTACATTGTACTTTGAAGAAATAATATATTAAAAAGGCAGGGAGGAGGATTTGTCTTTTCAAAAAAAGTAGTTGAAATTAATACCACTATATTTAAGTTACAAATAAGTGCATTAGTGAAGAACACCGTTGCCTTTTAAATATTTTCTAGGTCTTTTACATCAGTTTGTCACCTAGTTGGGTGTTGGCAGTGAGAGGTATTTTGGTAACTGGTCAACTCATTTCCAGGCTATTTACTCTTGGTTTGAAATCAGAAGGCTAGTAGATATGGGCAGCCTTCAAGGTTTCTCCCATTTTAGTGTTGTTCTTCCAAAAGCTTCTATCCTAACATTTTCTTTTTAGCTATTTGCGCTGAAAAACCTATTAATATAGTCCTGTTCAACTTCCAATCCATTTTCTTTGTTCAAAAGCCAGGTGTTTTATTCACATCTTATGGGTACCACATTCCAAATAATTCAGATTGACTGCCTTGCACCAACTGCAGGAAAGGTGCATGTGAACATGCAAACCTATTGCAACTGTTCAAGCAATTCAGATCAAAGATATGCTTCCCACTGTGACTTCACCTCAAATGGATAAGAGAGACAATAGATGAAATTATCAGAATTTACAGGAAGAACTATTAGCTATACTAGATGTGACAAGATTTGTGAAAGCCAAGGACTGCCATGGCTTGTAAAATATGATCACTGGAATTGAATCCTGCAGAAATTGGCCCTAGTGTTCAGAAGGGGTGGCAGGGGGGGGATACTCACTGGTTATGTTAGAAGTGATTTAAAACAAAGATTTCACCTGGAGGTAGAAGATATTCATAGATGTCCACTATGGACATCTTTAAGTCATCAACATTTCTAGGTAATTTTTAAGGTATCAACATTTCTTTCTGTTCCAAAGTGAAACAGACCCAAAACACTTTTTGCAAAAAATGAAGTTTTGGCAAAATGTCTACTGAAGATCCAAACCACAGCTTTTCAACCGGGGGTGATCTGGGTGTTCAGAGTTCTCAGAGTGCCCCAAAGGATGACAAGGTCCAATGGTTACAAACTCCTTCAAGACCGTTTTAGGTTGGACGTAAGGAAAAACTTCTTTACTGCCTGAGCCCCCAAGGCCTGGAATAGGCTCCCTCCAGAAGCACCTACTCTGGACTCTTAAGAAACATTTGGACGCATATCTTGCTGGGATCCTTTGACCCTAGCTGACTTCCTGCCCCTGGGGCAGGGGGCTGCACTCGATGATCTTCCAAGGTCCCTTCCAGCCCTAATGTCTACGAAATCTATGACTTTTTGTGAAAGTACCTAACACTACAGTTCAGTAACTAGGACACTGACCTGGGATGGGGAGACCTGGGTTCAAGCCCTGAATCAGAATGGTCTTATTCTTCCCCAGTCAGTCTAATTAATTCTAATTCTAGTACAATTCAGGGCATCCGATACCCTACCCAATAAGCTAAAAGCCTTAGACTTCAAAACTCTTCCAGATGAAAATTTCCTCAAAATAACTAGGATACATTTTCAAAAAGCCTTCCGATTACCTCTAATCACCACACTATCACCTTTTCATTGTAACATGTCATGCAAGTCTCTCCCTGTATCAGAAAAAAAATGTGCGCCAGGGAAAGGATAGTCTCAGATTTCAAATTACTCAAAAATCTATCCAACACATTTTTCTGGCTGAAAAAGCACCAACCCTGATGCATTCCAGGAGTTCCTATTTAAACTAGAGATATTTCATATGGAATTTCTTCCAAATGCCCAGGTCTCCTGTGTTTTGCTTTCCATCAAGTCCCACTTAAAGAAGAGATGTGAGCTTTCTGAAAGCTCTGACAACTGAGTGAAAGCTTCAGATGTGAGTTTAGCCAGTAACTTCTGTATATTGCACAATCTCTCTCTGCAATCAGATTCAAGCAGTACTGCAAAAATGAGGACTCATAACTCCTCATATCTTCTGAAAAGAGATGAATCTTAAATAATCCTTTTCCTAAGTCTGCAGAATTCATATCTCCTACATATGTATTTTCTAAATAGAGACTACTGACACTAGCTTTTCTAAAATTAAAAGTGGCACTTCCTTGCCACCTATGTATGTTCTTAGTTTGTAATGAAAAAGATACTTCTCATTTAGCTGTTGATATTGTTCCCTTTAATTTTAACTCTGCAGCCATGATGGTGATGGAGTGTAGAAGGCCAAAGTTTTCTAAGCAATATATGGATAAGTTTGGAGTCTGTACCCTTGTTCCTAGACCTGATGCAATTTGGAAACCACAAAAAATAGTATTGTATTCATACATTTTAATGCTAAACTTCTACAAGCAGCTTTGAAGAATACAGCTCATGCACTAAGATTTTTTAAAAAAATATTTCATACTAGAACTAAACATACTGAGTCCGTAAAACAAAAACTCCTCCCTCCTCTGCACAAAGTACCAATCCACCACTGCCATCTGCAGGGAAGTCTGATATGAGACAGGAGTTGTACATGCCCCAAAAGGCCTCATTATTTTCTGCTCATTATCCTTCCTCTCCCCTGAGGCTCCACAGCATCAGAGTGAAAGTTTTCATTTCTGTTTTCAGAACTCAAGCAGGTGAGATTAGCTGCTACTGGGACAGAAACAAAGGAATCCCAACCATAATTGGGATCTGTTATGCCAGGAGGCAAAACAGTCCCTGATTTTCTAAGCAAACAGGACAGATGCAAAGCAGGACATAAAGCAACTTATCCAGTCAAGGTCACGCTGGCCATCAGTAGCAGAATCAGAACTAGAATTCATTCATCCCAATGTGATGGCCAGTGCTCTAGCCTCTCCGCCATGCTGCCTCTCTGAAATGACCCAACTAAAGTAACTAAATCCTGTTCGGACTTATTTGCTTGCTACTAAGAATGGCTGATCTCTGCAGGTTAGACAGCTACAATGTCTCCAAAATATCAAAGGGACTAATTTTGACAGAGGGAGGAAAGGGGAAAGAAAATCTGATCAACAATCAGCAGAGTACAACATTCCTCCCTCCCCTCCCTGCATTAAATCACAGGTCATGGTAGAAATCCACTGAATTGATTTCTAGGGAATAAGGACAGAAGGCAAAGTCCAGTCAGTGCTCATTTACCTCATCTGTACATCATTTAACCGAGATGGCATTCACTGTGCAACTACTTGGATGCTTTCTATCTGTGGTCTTCCTGCCTAGAGACCAGCCTGAGTAAATAAGCAATCCTGCTCATCAATTAGTGTCTAAGCTTAGACTCAAAGCTGCTCCTAAGGGGCCAGATTTTCACAAGTGTTGAGTCAGATGTTCCCACTGACCCGCTCTCTTCCTCCTCTTCCATCTTGCCTTAGGAGGAAGATCTCTTCCTTGGATTCTTTTCTTCAAGTTTTTTTTTTTTTTTTTACTCCATCCTGCTAATCTCCCTTTGCAACTCCAACCTTTAATTTAACAAAGCCTCTCCAAATTACTCCCCAGCCACCCTCCAGCCCGTGATTCACCCTATTCAACAGTGCTCCCCCATCCCTAGTAACCCCTTGTTCTTGCAGGCAGCCGTTTCACCTGCATCCTACACAACAATCAGTGTTCCCCTGTACTTCTTTTCTGCTCATCTCCAATGAAACCCTACAACTCTGCCCTTCATGCTCCCTTTTCTGAGTGGCCCCAGAAGTCCCCCTCTCTGGGTCTGGCTGTGTCCTGTTCAAGACCAGAGGGCAGAGGAGCCTTCAGCTGTAGCAGAGGAAGCAGCTCTCACTAAATCCAGGTGGCAGCAGATTGGGGTGGTTGGGCAGGGAGCTGCCATCTCTTCTGGTTCTGGATAACGACAGGCCCGAGTCAAAAGAGTTCACAACATCAAGTCCTCTGACACTGTAAAGCCTCACGCAACCATATTTTCAAGTGTCCATGAACACCACAAAGGATGCCCAATTATACTGGGCATCTCCCAGTGCCTGGTGTAAGCAAAGTTATGCATGTGATTGTCACCCTCAGCTTTTTCTCTTCCTTTTATCATAAGGTCAACTTGAAAACATTCAGCTTGCCAACCTGGAAATGACACTGTGGTCATTTAAAGCCCAATGCATGTTTTGATGTGATCCAGTCCACAGTTCCCTAGGCTCCCTTCGGGGGCCCTGCAACTTATTTGGCTAGAGGTATTTATTCAATCTCTTTCCAATTTGTCAGAAAAAGATCAGGTTGGGGCTTGTTTGACAGAAGCCCTCCCTAACTATGCTCCTATCAGGTTTTCCAGAGGGATTACTTTGTTAGCAGCGAGAACAACTAGAACAGGGATGGAAAGTAAATGATGCCTTTGTTCTAGGCAGTAACTACGTATGAAGTGACATTTTATTGCATAAGCAGCAAGCCTGTTGCGTAAATCAGTCACGCTTGCTGACCCACAACTGTAATCACCAGTCAGACATGCTGACCTGTTAACTTTATGCTCATAGTTTGGGAAAGCTCAACCAGCTAAGGCTGATGGAAAAGAAAGCAGCTAAGATTTTAATAGGGGTACCCATGCAAGCCTGTTAAAAAGAGACAAGGACACTGCAAGAATATAGTATTTTTTCCCCCCAGAGAACTAAACAACATGCGAAGCATGGCAAGGATCAAAAGTTGACTTACAAAGCTTGGGTTCAGTGTGTAAGGCTGGCAGTGAGAGAGGTTTAAGGATGCCCACATATTTTATTTGAGCTTATTAGATATGGAAAGAGAGACCAACAAGAAAATTCCCTTCCCTTATCTGGATGAGTTTTCAGAACAAAAACAGCACATTCAGTTTCCTGTGTTACTCCTCAATAAAAAGAC